GAAGTTTTGCGGAAGTGTGCGAACATCGTCTAGGTGGCTTTGGTGAAGCCGACCTACGTGGCAACATCATGTGAGCACGAGGTCGGCGTGGTGCATGTGGCGCAACCGTCGGCACGTGGCTGACTTGCCACGTGCGAAATGTGCGTGATGGTGTACGACGTGATCAGCGGTCTACCAGCATTTGCGAAGTGGGTGTGCGCATGTGCGCTATAGCCATCTGCGGTTGCAACGCTGGGAAGCCGCCTTGTTGCAACGTTGGCAAGCCACCCTGGTGCAATGCAACCAGGCCGCCGACTTGCATCGTTGGCAAGCTGCGTTGGCGCGCCGCCTACTCGCGGCGCTGGCAAGCCGCCCTCGTGCTGCTCTGGAGGTCGAGCTCCTTGCTTGCTAGGCTTGCCAGGTCCCATATGTAACCACCTTTGCCAAACCTTTGTGCATCATTGTGTAATTCCTTTTGCTAATGCAACTCTGGCCAATTTTCCCTGTGAAAGCGCAAGTAGAGAACGCGAGAAAACGCTACGATCACTCGTATCATCCGTGCCTTCCCATAGTCTAGCTCCCGGAGTTGAGTGACTCTCCGCTTGGTGCGGTGAGTGTGGACGGCCCCGCAAGATACCTTCTATAGATTAGTCACCTTAGTTGCACAATACCTAAGTCGTTGTTGGCCCGAATGAGTAGAGGATACCTTGGCGGTATGGGAGGCTGATATTCGGCGAAGCCACGATGCTGGCAAGTTCAGTAAGGCTCCCTTGGAGGTGCTCCTCATAGGCACTCGTGCGCGGTGGGCACGTGAAAACCCTCTTCGACCTGAAGCGGACTGTTTATCCGCCTCTCTCCGACCTGTGCATAACAAAGGCGATGGCGGCAACTTAGTCGGTGACGAGGGCATATAGGTGACGAGGGCATACAGGTGACTCGAGGTGTTATTCGGGCTGCGGACGTCGGCGTCGGCGGAATGCTGGCGCAAGGGCCGCGGTCGACAGTGAATGCAGACAGAGACGTCGGTGGTCGACGTTGCTCTTTCCAGCAAAGTGGAGTCCGGCCGACTTCGGAGACTCACAGGTCAGCTGGGCTAGATGGAGGCAGCACATCGGCGTATGACTACTTCAAGTTTTCTTCAAACAAGATCGTCGTGCCCCAGCAGCGCGAAGGTCATCACGGCCTCATCACGTAGACGAGGTCTATTGAGCAGCAGCTGGAGATCGCCAGACCGGAGCCGTTTGCCGACGACGACGTGGAGACACCGGATGAGGCCAACGTCGAGCCCCTGGCGAAATTTTGTGCCGCTCATCAGCTAGCCTTCATAACCATCTCGCGGTGTTGCTCGTCGATGGTGCAAGTCGCCATGAAGCCGTGCCGACTTCGGGTGGGCGCTGGGAAGAGCGATGTGCTTGTCGTCGTCGAGAAGTGGCTGAAGATGGTGGAGTGGCAGAGTTCGAAGTCGGTCAAGATGCTCCATTCCGACCGCAGAGGGGAGTTCCTCGGTCGAGCTTTCACCAACTACGTCGACCACAAGGGCATCGTTCACGACTTGACGTGACCGTACACGCCATAAAAAAATGGTATGGCTGAGCGGGAGATGCCGGAGAGAAGGGCTGTAAGGTGCTCGACTTCACCGACAACAAGATGGTCACGACGGTCGAGGTCATCTTCTACGAGGCCTTGTCGCAGGAGTTAAGGAAGCGGAGCACGGCCCGGCGTCGGTGCGGATGCAAGCTTCCCTGCTGACTGATTCCTTGCTGGCGACGACTCCGCTGCTCGCCGAGGATGACGTGCCGGATGCCGATGACGTCCCTCCGCCTCCTCCTCTCTTTTTTCCTGTTGTTCCACCGTCGGCGGTCACGCCGCCTACTGCGGTTGCCTCCTATCCCCCCCTCGTCGCCGATTTGCTCAAGTTGGCCACCGGCGATGAGGGGAGAATTGGTGCCGTGCCGGCTAGTAGTATCATCGGCGACCAACGTGACGTAGTTGGCGTCAAGCAAGTCGACAACCAGTGAAGCCAACTTCTGTTGTACAGACGGCAGGGAAGCCGACTTCAGGGGAGAATTCGACCGACAACATGATAGCAGCTCAACGACGGCTCACCGAGCGGCATGGTGGAGGTCGTCAGCGCCGACGACATCGAAGGGGAGCTATATGCGGGGGAGCAGTCTAGCAACAGTCCCGGTCGACGAGCCAAAATTGAGACGTTCCACCGCCCCAACCTTGGCAAGGCTCCAGAGCTGTGGAGTTAATATGCTTGCCTGTCGCCGACTACCTATAGCATGCTCTTTGACGACGTGCAGGCCGATGTCGACCTGGCCGGGCTCGACCCCGACAAGCACGTTGACCTAGAGAGGTGATTGGACATCGCAACATGACTGTCAAGGAGACGTTGGCGAGTTGGAAGGGCAAGGCGGTGAAGGCTGCCATGGACAAGGAGAATCAAAGACTCCTCGCCAACGGCACGTGGGAGCTCGTTGAGCGGCCACGCGGTGACAACGTGATGAAGAACCTTTGGGTGCAGGTGACAAAGTACCATGTTGACGATATGGTCACCCGCAAGAAGGCCCGCCTGGTCATGAAGGGCTTCACGCCGGTGTACTGCGCAAACTACGACGAGAAGAACTCGCTGGTCGGGAGCTACGTCATGCTGAGGATCTTCCTTAGTGTCGTCGCCATCCTCGGCTTGCACCTGATGCAGCTCGACATAAAGAACGCCTTCCTGCAGAGCAAGCTCGATCGTGTGCTCTACATGGACCAGTCGTCCTACTACAATGACAGCACCGGCCGCGTCTGCAAGCTGCTGAAGAGCCTGTACGGCCTTAAGCAGTCGCCATAAAAGTGGTACTCGGCGCTCGACGCTATGCTGGCCGGCGCTGGCTGAAGCATGAGCCAGATCGACGCGGCACTTTACTTCAAGGTCGGCAACGACGGAGTGGCGTGCTAGGTGCTCATCTACGTCGACTACCTGCTTGCCGCCAGCGGCAGCCTGGCGATGCTGAAGGAGCTGCACGAGCTGCTGGAGGCCGCCTTCAAGCTGCGCGAGAGCAGCCCAGTCGAGAAGTATCTCGGGCTGGAAATTGTGTGCGACCGACTTGCACGGAAGCTGTGGCTCCACCAGCAGTCCTACGTCGACAAGCTGCGTAGACACTTCATTGATAACGAGGAGACTTGTCGGCATCCAAAGACGCCGGTCTCTGTCGATGCCTATGCCAAGCTGGCGTTTAACGACGATAGCTTTCAAACGTGCGAGGAAGAGGAGTACAGGCAGAAGGTCGGGCCGCTGCAGTTCGCCGCCACGACGACTCAGCCCGACATCGCCTCTGCGTGCAGGAAGCTAGGGTCTGGCTTGACAATGAGGAGCAACCAGCACTGACGCGAGGTCGACCGCTGCCTTGCCTACCTCGCCGACACACGTGACGTTGCCCTGGAGTTCGGCGGTGGACCTGAGTCGCTGTGTCTAGTCGGCTACGCGGACGCTGACGACGCTGTTGACAAGCAGACGTACAGTAGCACGAATGGCTACGTTTTTGTCTTGGTAGTGCCGCCATCTCTTGGATAAGCCAGCGCATCAAGTGCATGACTCTGTCATCGACGGAGTCGGAGTACATTGTGGTTACCAAAGCCGGCAAGGAGACACGCCGACATCTTTTCCTCCTCGCTGAGTTTCAGCTGCTCGACGCTAGAACGCCGATCGTCCTAAATGTGGACAACTAGTCGGCCATCGCCGCCGCTAAAGGCTTGGGGCTCAATGCCAACGCCAAGCACATGGAGCAGCGCTACTTCTAGCTACAGCAAATGGTAAAGCGCAACAAGGTTGCGCTGCAGTACATCCCAGCCACCGAGCAGTCGGCCAACTTTCTCACGAAGGCGCTGCACATTCGGGCCTTCAATCGGCTCCGTCACAGTTGGCCAAGTTCGCTTTGTCGAACGACGACGGCGTGCAGAAGTAGGCGCCATGTCCTTCTACATGGCTGGTGATGTGACTGGCGTGCTGGGAGTGCACACCGATGAAGGTAGCCCTTGTAGGGATTGATCCCAGTTCTCTAACCAACTAGGATAAAAGGGAATGTTTCCTTGGTGGGTCAGCGCACCCATACTCCCCAGGACGACACCTGCAGCTTTTGGGAAGACCACTTTGGGCCATTTCTGTGCCCAATTCAAACGCTCCGTCGCAGTTGGCCAAGTCCTTCTGGCCGACGTCGGTGAGAGTGATGACGAAGTGCAGTTGTAGGCGCCATGCCATTCAGCATGGCTAGTGTGGTGAACGGCGTGCTGGGTGTGCACGTTGACGGTATCCCCATCTTTCACCTTGGGATGCCATGTCACCTTATTAATTGCCTATATACCACACCGTTGATACTGCCTTATATCTGTATTTCAAAAAAAACAAAAAAAAAAAACGTTGCACGGTATATTGTAAATGCAGATGCGCTTCCATCTGGGGTATGACGGTATTCCATGAATATCTTGCTCTCTGCGCTTTAATCCTGTTTCCTGGTGCACCTCACCTCACCTACCACTACCTTTCTTTTGAGTCGGCACAAAATGGCCAACTGTATGTTGGTCAAAGTTGGTGCTAGATGGGGATTGAGTTGGTTAATGGTGGCATGTGATGTGCTGACCTGAGATGGCCTTGAGTCAACTGAAAGTGGCCACTGATCTGGTATAATATGCCGTCAGAGTTGACTCAAAACTACTCCCCAACACCCACTTGTCCTTAGACGTTTGCTCCAGTCCTCTGGTATACCCAAAATAGCAAATGTACCTCTCTAAGTCGACTCAGAACTCCGATACATTTGTAATACGTCGATCTTCAACTACTCCTATCTCTTGTATACGCTACAGGGAGAATGCGGTCAGTAGGAGTCTTTGGGCCCCCCTTTGGAGAAGTAAACGATAGTACCCCCACAATCGTGGGTCAACTTTGATCGTTTGACCTGAGCAAGCTGTCACCGTTTAAACTGCTTCCTGAAAACCACTTATGGAGAGGAAGCGGCTACTCTAACCAAGGGTCATCAGTCCTCTTCGCGGCTTCTTTTCGGAGAGAGCATCTTCCCAGTGCGCTGCGCGCTGCTCAACCCCCAGTCCCCCATTACCGACATCCCTGCTACATTAATAGTAGTGCCTGTAGTGGCTGCTTCTGCGGCTGCTGCTGCTGCTGCTCCATCTGTCCGTGCCCAGCCTCCTGTCCCTACCACAGCTGGTGCTGGGAAGAACGACTCAGGCAGCAACAGAGTCTCGTGCCCCTTAGACCACATGCTGTGACTGCTACCGGCGGCATTGGCAGTGGGATAAGCAGGCATGGTGGCGGCAACCCCCTCCTCTGATGCAAAAGGGTCTCCAGACTCATCATGCATGGGCGTGAACATGGAATACCCCTGTTCCAGTTTGGAATCTGGTGCTACGTGTGGCGGAGGTCCCATTAATGGTGCAAGCCCCATGACTGGGGCAAGTTTCGTTGATGGTGCTGGTTCTATGGATCCTTCTAGCGATTCCATTTGTTCACCTGCGGTTGCGTCACCTGCACTTGTCAGGTAACTGCTGGTGTGGTAATCGTTGCTGGTTGGGTGAACGCTTGTGACCAGGTTGCGACTGAGATGGTGGCTGAATCCGCTGCCCATACAGCTGATGATGCCCATGCTGGTGCTGCTGATGCCCATGCTGCTACTGTTGATGCCCATATCCTCGTCAACATCCAATAGGAGTGATTCTAGCTCTTCTAGCTCCATCCCATGCACCGATGTCATCATGTCCTCTCCTCCTCCTCCTCCTCCTCCTCCTCCTCTTGCTTCCATAGCTACTCCTGCTGCTGCAACTCCCACCCCTGCTGTCGCCACGTCTGCACTGGTTGGTTCTACCCTTGCTGCTGCTTCTCCAAGTCCCACCCCTCCTCTCAAGCTTTCTTCTTTGTTCTCCACCCCCGAAACCTGTGCTCCTACGCACCAGCTGCTGCTGCGAACCATGTCCTCTAAGCCACCATCCCCACCACTCCAATCTCCCGTTCTCTCTCCTACCACCCCCTCTCCAGCCACCTCAGTTTCTCTGCTCTCCCACACACTGGTATGCAGCAGAGAGTCACTTAATTTCCTCTCATACAGCCTTTCTTCACCCCTCTGTCCCTCCAACCACTGAGGGTGTGCATACTCTAGGCTGTGGGAGGGACGGAAGGGTGAGTGATAAGGGTTGACGCCTTGACTGGGAGACTGAAGCGGTAGAGAGACGGCAGGGCAGGAAGCACTTCTCTGCCATGGAAGATCCGAACGAAGTCCTTCCTGCTCCCAAGTCCTTTGCCATGGGAATTCAGTGCTGAGACCTTCTGTGTATTCTTGCTTACACTGAGAATCAGCTTCTGCTGCAGGTTGTTGCTGCTTCTGCTGATTACGACTGAGTCCCTGTTGCTGGGGCATGTGCTGCTGAGGCATTTGCTGCTGAGGCATTTGCTGCTGAAGCATGTTCTGCTGAGGCATGTGCTGTTGAGGAATGTTCTGCTGAAGTGCCCGATGCTGGTGATAACGGTCCTCCTGCTGCTGCTCCTGCTCGTGCTGCTGCTGCTGCTGCTGCTGCTGCTGCTGCTGCTGCTGCTGCTGCTGTCGCTGTTGCTGCCGCTGTTTCTCCTCCTTCTGCGGCTGCTGACCTGGCTGGTCCCGGAACCCAGTTCCCCCCCCATGCTGTCCCTTGTGCCGTTTCCCCCGCTGGACTCCTCTCGAGGCTGCTACAGAGGGTGGTCCATCTGCATACGAGGGTGCTGCAGCTGCATGTGAGGGTGCATCGAGGGAATGCGCTCGTGCGAGTTGCAAGGGGTCCTCCGAGACTGCACTGCATACAAGGGTCCTCCGAGGCCGCACTGCTGAGCTGCTCTGAAACCCTCCATGCTCCACTTTGCGAGTTGCATCAGCCACTTGTGGAATAACAGAAGGTGCAATGCCTGTTGGGACCACACCAGACTCTGAGCCTCCCAAGGGTAGAGACGCATCTGCAGCCAAACTAGCAGCAGGGGTGGTAGCAGCAGCAGAAGCAGCGGCAGCAGGTACACGAGGAGAAGCAGTAGCAGCGATAGCAGCAGCACTGGAAGCAGCAACAGGGGAAGCCCTAGGGGATGTTCTGGTAGTAGCAGCTGTGGTACTAGCGGCCTGTTCTCTCAAGAGTGAGTTGAGAATATCAGCGAGCTCTTGCAGATCCTCATGACGGATTTCTTGACCTGCTGCTCTGTCCCCTACCTTGTGTGCACCAGCAGCACTACTAGCTGACTTATTGCTGGCAGCATCAGCAGCAAACGCAGCAGCACCACCAGCACCATCACCATCAGCAGCAGAAACAGCAGCTCTTTCCTGCTGTAGAACCCTCTGCTGTTGGGGGACTAACATGGGAATGGTAACCTGCCTCGTCCGCCTGTTCATCAGCTTCTCCCCGCTCGTTTTCTTCTTGCTGGCCGTTTGCGTCTGATCCAGGTGCCAACTCACCTGCTTCTGTTCACCCTTCTCCTTCTGCCATTGATCTTGGCTGCTATCCCACTCCACCCTCCAGTCCAGCTTTGCCTCCATTTCCCGTTTCTTCTGCTCCTTTCGCATCTGCTGCTCCTCTTCCGATTGCTGCGGCTCTCCCATTTCAACCTGCCCTGCCACTCCATGCCCGCCTCCCACACCACCACCACCATCTCTGCTGCTGCCAGGCGGCTTTGAGTCAGTCAGATAGTGCTTGAAGGATGGCAAGGTCTCGGGGTAGACCGGACCTTTCAAGATCCCCTCTGCTTGCCGGCTGTTTCCCTGCTGCGTGTGCAACCCTTGCACAAGCCCTTGCTGCCCTGCTGGCCTGCTGTTTTGCTGGTGCCTGAGAAATAACTCAGGCTGCACTGCGTGGCTGCTGCTGCCAGCACTGGGCTGGAGGAAGGGGGCCGGGGAGAGTTCAGAGTGCGGCGATATCCCTTGCTGCTCTGCGGGGCTGCTGCTTTGCTGGCGTCTAAGAAACAGCTCTTGCTGCTCTGCGTGGCTGCTGTTGCCAGCAATGGGCTGGGGGAAGGGCAATGGGGCAGGAGAGTGTTCAGAGTGCGGGCTGAGCGGATTGAGGAGAGGAGAGGCAGGACCTGGATGCGCAAAGAGGTTACCAGCTCCAACTTCTGCTCCCACTGCTGCTCCTACTCCTGCTTCCTCCATTTTTACTAATGCCAAATCTGCCGCTCCCACTGCTACACTAGCTGCTGCTCCTGCTCTTTTAACATCAATTGCTGCTTCCCCTGCTGCTCCTGTTCGTTCTACCTCCATCGCTACTGCTTCTACCGATTCTTCCTCCGCTGCTCCTGTTCTTGCAGCTTTTGCCACTATCGATACGTTTTCCTCCTCAAGACCCACAGGCATCGCTGCATCCACATCTGCTGCTCGGCTTGCGACAACGCTGCTCTGGACATCCACAGGCATTGCAGAGTAGGAGGAGTTGGGGGACTGGCTCCTTGTGAGAGTATTTGGGGAATTATTACCCTCAAGCGGCTGCACCGTCACAGCCTGCTGGGACACCATAGCCTGTGCTACCGCTGCTTGCTGTGCAACCATTGCTTGTTGTGCCGCAATTGCTTGCTGTGCAACCATTGCTTGTTGTGGCGCAATTGCTTGCTGTGCAACCATTGCTTGTTGTGCCGCAATTGCTTGCTGTGCAACCATTGCTTGTTGTGCCGCAATTGCTTGCTGTGCAACCATTGCTTGTTGTGCCGCAATTGCTTGCTGTGCCACCATCCCCTGCGGTGGCACCACCGCTTGCTCCTCAGCCGTCAGGGAGCTTCGCTTGAACACCCTCACAACCACCCACGACGTCGTGCCACTCCTTCGGCCACTGCCAGATTCGGCCATTGGGCTGCTGGCTTTGGGGCTGTTGCTGCTGCTGCTCCCGGCTAGCCCACCATCACCACCTGCACCAACCGCAGCTTCCAGACCTCTGGTGTCAGGGCCGGTCGCTTTATCTTTTCTACTGCTGTTTCGGCATATGGCAGTACCATCTCCTGCATCCACTCCAGCTGCACTGCTTTCACGCGTAACATCTGCGTTTGCAGCTTCTGGCGGGTCCAGATCCCCTGCTGCAGCTGTAGCGCGTGCCGCGTCTGTAGCAGCAGGTCCAGCTACAGGCGAATCCTCTGCCAGCCGGTACTCGTGCATGACCCAGTCAGTCTTGTCCCCTCCTGGCGCTCGGCCCCTGTTGCCAACACCCGCAAAATAAAGAAATGTTCAGAAGGCTTGTTGAACAAACGGTACCTGACCCATCGAGACATAAAATCGGAGTAGGCAGTCCAGAGACTCAAACATGAAACCGAGCAACCTGAAGACCTACATAGGACACAGGGGGGTCGCTGTTTGGTGATAGTTGGAGACGGCGCTGAAGCAATGAACTCACATGTAGAAGACATGAGTCTTTTTGAATCCTGCTCTGACTGTCTGCTCCCCTTTGCCTTCATTACCACTGCTGCCGCCTGCTAGCCGCACATGCACTGGCCTGTCCTTCCCAGTGGCCTTCCAGTACCCAGCCGTTGTGGCGCGGTTGGACCTGTACCCTGATGGGTACTTGAGGTCGCGGGCTGCAAAGAAGAACCACTCTCCATCGCCAGGAATAGGGCAAGTTGCTCTGGCTGGGGATTGGGGAAGACAGGTATGAGAGGGGAAGAGGGGTAAATGAAGGCTCTTGAACCATTTGCCGTCGCCAGGAAGGGCATGTTACTCTCGCTGGGAGTTGAGAGTGTGGCTTGAGGTTGCGGGACACCGCGAAGGGGAACCACATGCTGTTGCCAGCAATAGGGCTTGTTGCTCTGCCTGGGCGTGGAGTAGAGCGGGGGATGGGATGACGAGAGGGTTGGTTGAGGTTGCGGGATAAGGGGAACCACATGCTGTCGCCAGGAATCGTCGGCAAGTTGCTCTGGCTGGGAGCGTTGCGGAATGAAAAAAAACAAAAAAAAAACAAAAAACAAGAAAACACTTGCTTTGGCCAGCAGTAGGGTTGCTCTGGATGGGGATGGAGTTAAAGGTGGGCACGGAGAAAGGGGTGCTTGAGGGAATCTCAGGGTGAAGAACGGACATTGGCAGCAACCGGCCTTGCTCGACCTGGGAATGGATTAGGGGGAAATATGAGAGGGAAGGAGGGGGTCTTATCAAGCTAAAGAGGACCAGTTTCGCTGGTCAGTACATTTTAGGGATGGGCTTCAAGTTGGTGTTTGTTTAGTGCTAGAAAAAAAATTGTGTTGTTGGTTTGGGAAAGTATATATGGGGCAGCATATATCATAAAGCTGTCTGATGCGGTGGGGCATGATTTTGGGGGGGAACAGGAGGGGGATGTTCCTCAGAAACTGTGCAGCCTTCGGAGGGAGGGGGAGGGGAGGGGAGAAGGGGAGAGGAGGGGGGGGAGAACGTTGTGGGCATGGGAAAAGTATAATTCACATTCAGGAAGATGCTTATCCTGGGCAGTAGTACCTGGCAGTTCCCAAGGCTCGGACTTGTACAGATCCACGTCGCCGATCGCATTCCATGCGATGGGAAGGCCCTCCACGCGCCGCCTGAGGTAGTAACACAGCAGCTCCTCGTCCGTCGGCCGGAACCGAAACCCTGGCGGGAAACCCTCTCCGCATGAAATGTCCGTTGCTCGCGGAATTCCAGTTGCAGTGGCACTGGTGGCCTTACTAGTAGGAACCCCAGCGCAAGTATCCGCAAGTTCTAGATGCCTATTGGTTGCCTCAGCTGGTTTGCTGCTACTAGTAGTAACAACAGCCGTCGTATCCATCTGAGGATATTATTCGCCAAAACTCCTGCGCTAAGTGGCATCTCTTGCTCCAACGCCGCAAGTTTGAAACTTCGGATCTCCAATCATTTTAGGGTTCCCTTAAGGGTTCGTACATCGCGGGAAGGAAAAGGACAATTTGGGAAGTCACACGGGGCTGCTTAAAATAAAGCGTTCTATGCGTCCACGAGATTACGGGCGGCAGGTTCTCCGCGGGCTGACTGATCAGACTGCTGTTAGAATGGCCTGGAGGAGGAAAACAATTTATTTGTAGAGGATGCTTGAGGGTTTGGTTGGGGTGTGGGCTGGATCAACCAACTTGGATCTAGACTGCCCGAATGCAATGTACCCGACAAGATGGCTCGTTCGCTTGAAATCCCCCCCAAATACAGTGCAGTCCTGTCCTGCAACGTCTGTCTTATCTGCGCTCGATTGGTTGTTGGTAGGCTCGTTTGGCTGCTTTCTGGCTCGCCCGCTTTCCGCGCTCGCGTTTACCACATGGCACGAAGGTCCCATGCCGCCAGATTCCGCATGCTTGATTGGCTGATGTGAGCTTCAACCAATCGTCAACGGAGAGGCTAGATTTGACTCGAAGATGGATTTTGTCGCCCGACCACAGCATCTTCCTCCCTCGTACGAAATGGCTTCACCAATTCGGCTGCGGGTTACACGATCGATGTCGCTCGTCTGCTGTCAACAACCATGCTGGTTTGCCATGACGTCAGGTGTTGATTGTCGTGACTGGTGAGGTTGGTGTGCCTTGTTGGCTTGCACGTCAGACCACAGAACTCGAAGTAACGTTAACTGTTTTACTTCAAACTTGTGTCAGAACGTTATAGCTTATACTTTTGTGTAGGCTCTAGTGGGGTATCCCATAGGGGGTACAACCCAATTAGGGTTAGTACTTGTACCCACTTCATTCATAGTTCATCCACTCTTGTTTCTTCTCATGGTATCGAGCAGGTTCCCTAGTGGGAACTGATCCTAGGGCCCACCATCGAATTTTTTTTTTTTCTGCCCGAAGCGCGCTCCGCTTAGGCCCGAGTCGCGCCTCGGGTCCTCTCTCTACCGTCGCGGCCTCCCTCGAGCCGCCCTTGCTCGGCCGTCGCCGCCCTTAGCGGCCCGTCGCCATCCTACGCGGCCCGCCCGCCGCCCTTTTGACGCCCGCCCCGGCTACGTGAGCCGCCCGTCCCGTGCGACGCGGCCCCTGCGCCGCCTGTCCCGGCCCGTCGCCACCTGACGCGGCCCGACGCGGCCCGTGCGCCGCCTGTCCCGGCCCGTCGCCGCTCGTCGCGGCCCGTCGCCGCCCGGCCCGTCGCCGCCCGTCGCGGCCCGTGCGCCGCCTCCCCCGGCCCGTCGCCGCCCGTTGTGGCCCGTGCGCCGCCTGTCCCGGCCCGTCGCCGCCTGGCTCGTCGCCGCCCTACCCTACCTGCGGCCCCGCCGCCCTACCTAGCGGCCCCGCCGCCCTACCTAACGGCCCCGCTGCCTCACTCGGCGGCCCCGCCACCCTACCTGCGGCCCCGCCACCTCGCTCTCGGCCCCGTCACCTGCTGCAGCGCCGCCCGCCACCCTAGCAGCACAACCGAGCCGCCCGACAGCAGAGCGGCCGAGCCGCCCAGCAGCCGAGCCGCCCGGCAGCCGAGCCGCCCTGCAGCCGAGCCGCCCAGCAGCCGAGCCGCCCTGCAGCCGAGCCGCCCAGCAGCCGAGCCGCCCAGCAGCCGAGCCGCCCAGCAGCCGAGCCGCCCAGCAGCGGAGCCGCCGACCCGCCGAGCCGCCCAGCAGCTGAGCCGCCGAGCCGCCGCGCCGCCCTCCTTCCGGGCCGCCCGACCTGCCCAGTCTGGTGAGCACAGCGCCTTTTCACTGCACTGCCCTCACCCTACTGTTTGCGCTGCTAGTCGTCTAGGGTCATGGCTACCCCTAGTGTTCTCGTCTTTGACGGTGAGGGTCGGGCCATTGACTTTGAGGTCTGGGTAGATGACCTGCAGCTGTTCTTAGAGTGCGATAGGGCAGACGGCCTCTCTCTCTTTGACCTCACCTCTGGCGCCTCCACTGCCCCTGCTGCTGATGCTGACGCCACTGTTCGCTCCCAGTGGGCCACGCGTGACGCTGCTGCACGTCTTGCTGTGCGTCGCCACCTCCCTACCTCCGAGCGTGCGCACTTTAGTCAGTACAAGAGTGCTCAGACCTTGTACGACGCTGTAGTTGCGCGCTACTCCTCCCCTGCCACTGCTGCACTGAGCCGTCTCATGCTACCGTACCTCTTTCCTGACCTTGCTGCCTTTCCCACAGTCGCTGACCTCATTACGCACCTCCGCACTAGTGACACTCGCTACCGCGCTGCACTCCCTCCTGACTTCTGCGCCAAGAACCCCCCCCCCATGTACATCACTCTTTACTACATAGTCACTCGCCTTCCTGACTCCCTTCGCGTAGTCCGGGACCACCTTCTCTCTGTCTGTCCCACCACTCTCACTGTTGACCTCCTCGAGAAGTCCCTCCTAGCGGCCGAGAAGAGCATAGTCGCTGTAGGGGCCTCTCGTGGTGACCCGCGCACCCCCATCTTTGAGGGGTGTTCCCCCTCCCCCCTTCTGCCCTCTGTTGCCTCTGCTGCTGCGGCCGACCTCCTTGGTCTTGAGTCGGTCGGTGTGGCGTCTGCCCCTAGCGG